ATCATCGTCTCATCCTCGCCAGATAACCTTAACTACCTGATAGCCGACATTCATAATGAAAGTGCAAAGAAACTAGTTCATCACAACAGACTCAAACTCTTCAGATCTAGAGCTTTTCTACAAGGGAAAGGACCTTCAACTTCGCGTCCTCCTTCAGGTGGTCAGAAAAGACATGAAGTTATCCCTCCTTCCTCAAGTCCTCCTTCAAGTAATCAGGCAAGGCCTGACATACCTCCTCCATCTCATTTGGCATCTCACTCTTCAATAGAGATGCCATGGTCAACTGACACTCCAACACAAGCTGATCGGTTCCGGCCGCCAGAAGACCTCCAGGTTCCAGCGGGTCAACAACCAATCCACTCTGAGTTAGGCAATTCTGACCAGCCATCTTGGTCAGAGGCGTCTAATGGACAGTCATCAACTCAATCCATACAACTACAGACTCGAGAGCGACAGGTTAACTCCCCTGACCATTTCCATAGACCAGGGCCCTCTAGAGAAAACCCTGATGTCAACCCCGATGTCAACCCCGATGTCAACCCCGATGTCAACCCCGATGTCTACCCTGATGTCAACCCCGAGGTCAATGACCAGCAACACACCACTCAACCATCAACTGGTGCATCAGCGACCCAACGTACACCCCGCACTATGCAAGAAGCCCCCACGACGCAAGAGGACACCACGACGCAGTTACCTCAAACTCGCTCTGGTAGACGCGTCCACAAACCGCAGAAGTATAGCGATTACCAACTGTGACTATTTTCCGATATCGAGAGGTATTGAACATTTCATTAGTCTGAAGTCAACATTTCCGTCAGGAGAAAAGTACGTTTAAACTGTCAACTTTCGGTTATGGAAAATTACAATATTTAATTGGACTGTGATCATGAATGACAGAGACATTCAAACTCATTTGAGCTTTAAGTGCTAAACTGGACTGTTCAGTATATTTGACTCTATGTACTCGGCAACAATTTTGAGCGATTTTGATATTGAATGGACTGTGAATTTCATGAGTTCTGTACGGGTCAGAACATCAGAATTATGGACTGAGAATTTCGAGCGTTAGACAAATAAGAATTGGAATGGACTGTAATTCCTTCTGCATTTCTCGCGAATTTTTGTTTGATTGCAGAACTTCTAAATTTGAGTTATATTTGTGTGTGTATTATTAATGATTCATACAAAGCACATGGACCATTGTTAGGCATTTGGTGAAATATCTAGAATATATCGGTATATTTGTTAGTGTTCATCTCTTGCGAGATACATTTTTTACAAATTTCTTCAATTGATGTCTAGTGATGGTTATGCTGGATTGTGTTTTCTTTGTTTGTATTCATAGCGTTTGAAATTCTTGAAGTAAGGACTAAACCAGGAAAAAATATGGGTTTTCTTGATTTTGCATGCGTCTTGACAAAGTAAATGGACAGTTGTTGATTGTCAAGAGAGAAATATCATTATTTTGGTAGTTGTTAAAACAAAAAGAAAAAAAGACAGACAGAAAAAATGAGATTGATTATGGTCTTCGTGTGAGGATATGTTTGTATTTTGTTTGGTCGATCCAAATATTTTTGACAAAGAAGAAAAGAAAAATATTACGTTTGAATGTGACCACTTCTCATGCATTATGTATTATTCAGAGGTACAATGTTATTGAAGGGTACGAGATGTTTGACCTGATAATGGTTTTTTTGTGGATTTAATCTTGCAGGTTACAAATGACAAAGCAGACACTGGCTCAATCTCAGTTGGAAATGTTTTATATTTTGAGGGGTCATTTTGCTTAACCAAAAGCAAGGATACTGTTGAAAACTATTTTTCTAAAGTGACTTATGTTTTATATTATGATAATGTGATATAATCACTTATGTCTGGTTATTATGATAGGAATATGAATGTTATGTATTTGTATTCATGTAATGGATAGCTTCTGGAAAATCTCAAATTTCCAAGTGATAGAATTTTTCATTTCTAGAAGGTAAAAAGAAAAAGAAGTAATAATTGGTTGAAAGAATTATTCAGCTATAGATGATTTCATTTCCTTACCAATTGCTCAAAATAATGAGAGCGAAACAACTTTGGAACTGTATTTGGCTTTAGAAACAAAGGAAACGGCGTTTGGACAAAAAGTGTTTTGTTAGGATTGTTACAACTTTTTGAGTCAATTGTTTTTTTTTTAGAAAGGCAGATACACTGTATTTATAGTTGTTTCTATTTTACCATTGGAATCGGGAAGTGTTTCCCCGAGATGAAAGTGAAACAGATTGGAAGCGGGAAAGCTCAGGTATACAGGTATATAAAATCATGTGGTTTTTGCAGATTTTTGTTTTTCTTTTCAGCTTATACATGTATATTAAGCTAATACTCTGTACATTTGAGTCATAGGTCATTTATATACGAGTAAAATTCATTTGTTTTGTACAATTGTATATATATATGCTTACAGGTAGTAAGGTTTAGTTTTTCTTTTAAAGGGAAACAAAAGGATATATTGATAGTGATTCTCTGTTTACAAGAGGAAAGGATAGAAAATATCATTTTGAAAGATGTTTAATGTGTTAGATGTTTGGGTAATCAAAGAAAGGACAATGCCTTATAAAATGAGGACATTTTATTTGTAAGGGGAAGACTAGTTTGTAGGGATTTATTTTGAACTTCTGAAACTCCCCTTCATATCCATGATTCATCCCTTTCATATTAATAGGTCATCCCTCATTTACATTCACCCTTTTCATCCACCATCCTTTCATCTGTCTATCTCTCTTTCTCTCTCATTGGTTTCAATGTTCACCTGATGCAGTCAAGCTTATAGTATAATTTACATATACCATGAATATTCAATATATACCCTTTGTTTATGTTTGAATATTCAAGAATACTTTGTGATGCTGATTTATACTTGTATGGGACTAAATGAATATTTATTGGTTTCTTCTACTTTGCATGGAATGTATATAAATGCTACATAGAATGCTGTAATGCTTTGCTACATTAAAACCTGGTCAGTTAGCCAGGAGTTATCAATCGTACAACATGTCTGCTGGGCTGCCTCTGTGTACTTAAGAGTGCTAGGAATTAGTTAGAACCACAACCCTACATTGGTACAACCCTACAGTAATACAAAGTTTGCATTGTCTCGCGCACGAAAAAATGGCTCGAAAACAAACGTCAAAACGAGAAATAAACAAGCTTTTTTATAGTTATAAGAGATCTACCGAGGTTTCTTTGTCGATATAATTTATTATATAGTCTCAATTAGAATTCAGAATTATCTCACTGAAACCGACGATGTTCTCGATCGTAGTTAATTTCACTTTGCCAGCAGACGTTCTAGCGTGGTTTTGGCAAAAAGCTAGCCCGCCACCTTCCCACCTCGAACCTTTCGAGTTCCGCTAAAATTGTGCGCTGCGGAGCTCCGAGGGTGCGTTGGTATCGCTGGCAAACTCTCGGCCGGCTAGCTCCCCACGACGGACCATTCGCGGTATGGCGAGAGTGTGTGTGTGAGATACCATTTTGGATTCGAGAACGCACGTACCACAACCGTGCGCGTCATTTTTTTTAAGCTGTCGAATGTCTACGACCAATTTTACATGTATGATTTTTAGTACAGATACTTGGTCAGTTTTCTTCTTATATCTTTGGTTTTACAACATTTAAAAATATAATTTCTTCAAATTTGCTCCTGACTCAGTTCAGACTAATTGTCTGATGTGTTTTCAAGTCAATTTCTTGAATATATTTTTTTGCATGAATTTACCTAATGAAGGGGTAACCATGCAAAGTTCGCAAAGTTTTTTACTACAAATTTGTTCCAATTTATAAAAATCCATTGTCAAAGGATATCAGAGATATCGCGTTTTAAAAATTCTATGTCCGGTCGTGCGAATGTGCTGCATCAAAAAAAGTCATAAAAAAACGAGACCTAAGGCTAAGTTCCCGCACGGGGGTTTACACTTACAGTTGATTTATCCAAAAAATCGATCCATCAATATCATAATTTGAAAGACAAGATATCTTACTATCAGTTGGTACCACTTTTTACTTACAATTTTGAGGAAATCTGCTCTTAAATTGAAGATTTTCAGACCCTTATCGGTAAGTTGATAATTTTTCGGAACGAACGCAAAAGATTGCAAAATTTGCCGAACTTTTGTGTCAATGTTTTCACAATTTCGTACCCAATTTCAAAGAAACATTCAATTCTGGGTAATTTAATGTTCCTCTTTCCAATGGTGATATCAGATTTTCGAAATCTTACGGATTTTTCGAGATAGCGAACTTAGGTCACGTGCGAACTTTGGTCACACGTCCATACAACGAATCGTTTTCTTTCTCTGACAATAAATTAATGAAACGTCAAAGCTACCGCGCCGTAGGGGAGGGGGGCGAGGAACTGAATTCAGACAAGGATTAAGAGTCAAGAACGGTTCAACGAATCGTCTTCATTCTCTGACAATAAATTAATGAAACGTCAAAGCTACCGCGCCGAAGGGGAGGGGGGGACGAGGAACTGAATTCAGACAAGGATTAAGAGTCGTGAACGGTCCAACGGGTGAGGGTATAGCGTATAGTGTATGTTTCAAAATCATGCATGCGATGACGCGAAGGATAGCCTGCATACATGCCAGTACGTAGTCTAGCAATTACTACCTTTTTTCTTTCTTTTTTCCCAGTCTGGCCCTGATGCATGACAAAAATGGTTGCCATGCATGACAGCGTTTTCAGACCCTCGATGCGTGATTGTCACGCATTATTTGTGATACTTGGTAGCTCTGTAATAAGCGTTGTAAAAACTATTTTCAGAAGAAGAAAATCCATGGAATAAGTAAAGTCAAAATAAAATTAAAGTTAATCATTGAGACAAACACTGCAGCTAGACTCCCAGCATGCCTTGTTCTCCTTGACGCGGCCAAGCATTTGATGTACTGTGGGACAATAGTCTCTTAAATTTACACCCATGCTTTTGTTACCTCCATTATTTGTCCATAATCCAGATTCCTGATTATCTTCATATCTGAACTACAAAAAGTACAAGTCTACAATGTAAGTCACAGAGCGATGGAAAACAACAGAAGTCGATTGATCTGAAACGGAAGACCCAAGTAATTCATACCAAGATGGATGTGGCATCGTTAGTCTCTCAACTCTCCTCTCTACAGCGTCTTGCCCATGCAACACTAGAAACATTGGATTATCAGTCCAAACTCTTAGGTAAACTTGGTAAACTTGATAATTTTTTAACCCATTGCAATTTAAAATGTCCCATATTGATTAATTGTTATTTTCAACATATATTTGTGTATAATGTATGTGTTAACCCATCACCCCCCCCCCCCCCCCCAAAAAAAGAGTTAAGAAACCTATATGTAGATCAATCATTGTGAAATGCTCTTTTTTATTTACTTTTTGGTCAGGTGAGTGAGCAAAAAATCAATTGATTGTATTTGTTATAAGTGAAATATGAAATGTTCTTCCCTTTTCTATCTAGGTATCTCCCAAGGCTGTGTCACCAAGGGCTTAGACTTGGTCAAGACTGCCACTACTGCTGTCAAGGGTCTTCAGTCGCTGCTCAATGAGAATGAACAGACAAGACAAGCCACCAGTCTGGAGGAAATGGAGACACTGAATTGCGAAGAGGATTCTTCTCCAGAGGCAAGCAGTACTCCGGTAAGAACAGACCTTATAATAATAATATGATAATAATAATAATCTTTTAAAGTCCACTCCAAATGTTATTAAGTTAAACCAAAAATGGAAATTCTTTTTGCCCAATTGATCGTGAGCCTGGCAGCCACTGAGCAGCGCCAGATCGACGTTGCTCTATTCCTTATTGTTGAACGCCAAACAAGGTAGCAACAACTCCCGTCTTTTAAGGTCTTGTGGTATGACGCGGCCGGGATTCGAACCCACGACCTCCTGGTTGTGAGGCGGACGCTCTACTGACTGATCCAACACAAAGGAGGTTTGTTGACAAACCTAGGTTTATGTGCGTCATATGACGCGTTTTGACGCATTCCAGATCAAGGTTTGTCTGAATCTTGGTCTGAAACGCATCGAAACGTGTCATATGACGCACATAAACCTAGGTTTGTTGACAAACCTCCTTTGTGAATTCGGGCCTGTGAGTCCAGAAAAGGGGAACCCAGATTCAAGTGCCAATAGTTTATGAGTGTTTATGCATGAGTCAAGTAGTCTTATCAACAAGACCTTTTACAGTTCACGGAGATTGTATGTAATCTGCATTTGAAGCTCATAGTTTGATTACATCATATGAAAACCCCTTACATCAAGAGCAAAACATGTTTTGATGATTGGTACACTTTAATACTTCAAGCAGGCTCCCAGTAGTCACTTCAAAAAAATATTGCCAAAAATGAATTAATCTTAAGAGCTACATATCCGATTATCGTCGGTGGGGTGACAAAACCTCGTATCTCAATTTTTTGAGATTTTTTTTTTTTTTGTGCACAATTTTTACTGTATTTCAACAATGACATTAAAAATTGTATAAATATTCCAGTTTAAAAAAAAAAGGACTGTGTAACAGCACTAAATTTGTTGAGACAGGAAAGTTTTTTCGCTCTCCTGAAAATTCATGATTTTTGAGATACGAGGTTTTGTCACCCCACCGGCGTTATACTGTATATTGCCGTTACTTGGCTACCTGCAGATATGAATTTATTATACTTTAAATTACATCTTTAAATTTGATTGTATTTTTTGTTTTTTTCCATTTACCCAATGTTTTAACTCATTGCCCTTTGTTCATGTAATTCGTTTCAGTCTACAAACACAGACCTGGTCAAATTGGAATACGATGGCTTTGTTGATGAGGATTCTATTGTAAAGGTCAAGAAAGAATACATACAGCCGGTGGAAGAAGAGGATTCTAAACCAGATCTATCGGCAGAACTGTTTGACGACTTTGAAGATGAAGAGGAAATTGATGAAAACATGCTAGCTGTAAGTTTCCCCTTATTATTATTATGTTCTTAACCCTTACTCTATGAAAGGTACTATGTCCCATTTGTAGGCCAAAAAATGAAAAGATTAAATTCCAACAGCATTTGAAAGATATTACTAATTTAGAACTTCCTTCAAACTTCCTTCAATCACTAAAGTAATAGTCTGATTTTCAGACCCTTGTACCGAGTGGTCATACTTTTTGTGCTGCGCAAAGATTCAATCAGTTTAATTTTGGCCATTTGAAGAATTAGGTTATTGATGTAGACAAATGCTCATGTACCCTTTACATCTCATTTACATGTATGTACATGTATGTTATTACCAAAGAAAAAACTAAGTAATTCAGTCACTTGATAGTGTCTGACAGTGAAGTCTAGAAAGGAAATGGGTTTCCTCTGAATTCACAGACAGGACATACGTGACATCAAACATTACTAGATTTTGTTGATGTAAACTTTGTTGTCATATTTTAGGTTTGAGGTGTTCTTTTCCAGTTTGTATATTTTTCCACATATTATGATCATCTTGAATCTGCCATTAGATAGGTAAAATGTAGGAGTATGTTGTCTTTCCTATAATTTTTTCAACTTATCTTAATTCATTCGCTCCTCTAAATCATTAGGCCCCAGAACTCCTTACATACATGAAAAAAAACATGTTAAAGATGCTTCTATACTGCCAGTTTATTTTAGTACAATTGTCAAATTAGCATTATAAATATACACAAATTTTATCCTCAGAACCTGATAACAGACATTTTGCTACAAGCAGGCCCAAGGTTAAACACTTTAAACACCAGGCCTTAAATTAATCGACGGCCATCGACGGCCAGGCCGTCGATGCCCCTATGACTGGCCGCGGTGCCCTCCCAAAAAAAGATATATTCACGGCCAAAAAGGCCGTGCCCTTTTTTTCAAACTGGCCGACGTGCCTTTTTTTCCAACTGGACGTGCCCTTTTTATTTTAAATTTGCGCCCATAATCATCTAAAACTAGACGGCAAGGCGCAAGTGTTTTCCGTGAAAATGCGCCCATAAATTATTAGAACAGTAAAAATACACGAATCACGAACAGTTTGCGGCCCACGAGCTCTCTTCTAGCTTCGTGCCGTGAAAATGCGCCCTTTGTTATTATAATTATAGGCAATGCGCTAGCTAGCGCACGTACGTACGTACGTTCATATTATGCGATCGCATGATATGCATATGGTGCATGCTGTTGACGCACGCACGTACGTACAAATCGAAGGCCAGGATCAAGAAAACAAATCGTCAAATGGAGAAATAAACAAGCATTCAAATAGTCATTAGAGATCTGTCGAGGTTTGTTTGTAGGCCTAGTTTATTATTTTATCTCAAATAGAATTTAGAATTATCTTATTAATAAGTTAAGAACACCTACGATGTTCTCGATCGTAGTTACTCTCATTTTGCCACCAGCCGACCTCGCTTCAAAAAGCTACCCCGCCAGCTTCCCAAGACGAACGTTTCGAGTCCTGGTAAAATTCCGAGGGTGCATAGGTTTCGCTGGCAAACTTCCAGCCCGACAGCTTCCCACCAAAAGTGGCGAGAGTGTGTGTGCGAGGAACGATTTTGGTTTCGTGAATGCACGTTACGCAACTGAGCTGAGCGTGTCACTTTCAGCTGTCGAATGTCTATAAGGACATTTTTACATCTTATTTCATTAGTTAGGCCTATGTAGACCTTTCTATACAACAGTTAAAAAGATAATTTCTTCAAATTTGCTCCTACTACCGAGAGAGTGGCGGAAGGTTTGTGTGTGAGGTGCGATTTTGATTTGGAATACCCGGCCCGGTAAACTTGCCAATTAAGTCCTTCTGACTTTCGATGTTTGTGAAATTGACAATTTATTTATTCATTTGCTCATCAATATTTTTAGTTACTTTAAAATACTGTTTAATGTGCAAGTTTGATGTTCTTAATCAATCTTTCCTGTTCATATTGTTAAGATTAAAAAGTTATTAAATTGATCGTTAGATCTATTCACATTATGAAATTAACATTTGTAGACTCTCTTTGAACTTATGATTAGATAAGCGGCCTATCTGTTTTTGGAAAATTGCCCCTTGCTCTGGTAAATTCCCGTGGCAAAGGGCAACTTAAAAAAAAAATTGCCCCTTGCTCCTGGCTGCTAAATCTAAGGCTTGCGGGCCGCCGCCTTGTTTGCAGGCGCGTAGCCAGAGTTTGGTGTTTGGGGGGGCACATACATGTAATCGATCGAGGTCAAAAAAAGGGGTCTACAAAATTTCAACCGATCCTGGAAATTTTAGGGGGGGGGGCATGTGCCCCCCGTGCCCCCCCCCCCCCCCCCCGTGGCTACGCGCCTGCTTGTTTGTATGTACCGTAGACCTCTATACATTCTGTGAAGAAGCTGGTGCTAAAAGTCATGGGAAATTGATCCTGCACAAGTTTCATAAAATACACATGACATCTAACAAAAATAGAATCAATTTTTTTGGCCTCATACTCGATGCCCTTTTTGTAAAATATTTTGGCCTCGATGCCCTTTTTGTAAAAATATTTTGGCCTTGGTGCCCTTAAAAATATGAGGTACTCGAGGCCAAACTGGCCTTGCCCTAAAAATGACGAAATTTAAGGCCTGAAACACAATAAGCAAAAACGCTGGAAAACCTTCAGATCCACTTTTGCTAAAAAAAAAACACTGGAGAAACAAGCTAGAATGACTCCCACACACCTTCTCTACCACACCCTCTCTACCACACCCTAAAGCTTGTACACCACAACACCTGTGAAGCATTTCTATAGATACATATTCTTGAACAGGAACCCTTACCAAACATGAGCATCCATGAATTAATGAGACAAACAAAATTTGCCTGCTGTACAACTGTAACGCATAAAGTATTCTATATTTACCTCTCTGCCATAATGTTTGATTCTCTTTACAGGAGATTGATGCTATGTGTGAGGCTGTAGCCAACTCATCTACTGATACCATCAATGACTCCATGGTCTCTAAAGATGATGAGAATGAAACTGCTAATGGTATGTGTTACCTCCTCCCCCCCCCCCCCCCCCTCCCCCATCTGTAGTATCGTCATTTACTGTTTGTTTCCTTGTTTCTTCTTTTCTTTTCTTTTTTGTCACTTTCTTTTTTTAAACTTTTTTTTTATTTGGTTTTGTTTGTGTGGCGTGTGTGTGGAGCGTGTGTGTTTGCGTGTTCACTATCCAATTGTGGACATTCTTATGAATACACATCTTCAAACTACGGACAGTCCTTGTTACATTGATAGGTTTTTAGACTATTTTAAAACTTCAGAGGGTGCTATACGAAATATCTCGCAATGCTGCGCTGCGAGAGTCCGCAGTTGTGTACCCCATAAACTGTTTTGCATCCACGGTCTGGCTCCTCCCTACCTATCTGAACTTACAACTATCACGCAAAAGCCCTCTTCTCCCTTCGCTCCTCTCAAGGGATCACGCTGAACCACCTGTCTCCCAAGATGCTACCCACACTTGGTGATAGAGCCTTCACAACTGCTGCTCCCAAACTGGAATAACCTAACGATATCCCTTCGTAACCAACAATCTGTCAATACCTTCAAAAATTATCTCAAAACTCACCTCGTCTGTTAACAATATAACTGTAAAGCGCATTTTACATGAATATTGAAAATGCGTTATATAAATACATTGTTATTATTGTCGCCTCAATATTTTATGTTTAAATGTCGATTATGCTGCCCTCTGTTGACAGCAGCAAAGCGTGGTATTTGCGTTATCGTGCTCTGTGCAGTGATAGTGGCCACTAGACTATCTTACTGCAAACGGTGACCATTTTCAGCAGAATTTTTCTTCTTCAGGCCACCGTTGACGTCAGGTGTATTGTACTGTTGAGGTGAGTGCGAGTAAAAACATTATATAGTTAAAGAAAAGAAACATTTTTTTTGTAGGTTCGAAATGCAGTAGTAAGAGTGATTGGGTGTTTGTGTGTGTATTAGCACGAAAAATATGCTGCGTCGTCTTGCGTTCCGGAAAGACCCCCATTTGTGACCGACAAATGTGTTAAATGTTACTGACAACCATCCTATAGGGTTGGCAATTCTGGGTCTGGTGTGAGTGGGTAGGTCCACATTGTGGTGATTAAGAACGGAAATGTGTGTCCTCTGTTAGATAAGGTTTTCATAATAAGGTCCTCGGTTGCAGGTAATTCAACTAATCACAAGAAATTATTGGAGGTTAGGTCACCTCAAAACATGCCAAAAACTAAAGATTCCTCTCTCTCTTTTTCTTTTCAGGGCTAGCTATGGCAAACCTTCGAAGGAGTGGAGAGATTTTGAGAAGCCCAATTAGCACAAGTGTCCACTCAGCAAAAACCAAGGGGGCTTCGAAACAATCAAACTCAGCTGTTGTAGTTATGCCGACACATAACAGAAAGGGCAAGAGGACTTTTGATAAGATCGTATACTGTCCATTTTGTCAAACCAAACAGGCCAGGCTGACACGACATTTGGTTTCATTTAATAATCATCATGATGAAGTTGAAATCGTTGAATGGAGGGCAACAGTGGACAAGAAGTTGAAAGCAAAGAGGTTGACGAGGATGCGTAACTATGGAAACTATCTGCATAATGCAAAAGTATTAAAAGAGCAGAAGGGAGAGCTGATAGTAGTGTACAGGCCTGGTTATGAAGCAGCACCCGAGAATTACGGCCCATGTCCAGATTGCTTAGGCTACTATTCAATAAGCGAAATCTGGAAGCACAGGTGCTTATTCAGAGAAGAACCGAATGCTGATGGGGAACCATCCAAGAAAAGGCAAAGGAACTGGAGAAGAGAGAGCATAATGCTGCTGCCCAGACCAGAAGTCGCAGGAATAACACGAGTGTCTTCACTCCGATCAGATGAAGAGGGTGTGGCCGTGTTGATTAAGTCAGAAACAATGATGGCAAAGCTTGCTGACAAGTTCACATTTAAGTTAAGACATGACAAAGATCAGTTCAACGACATAAGAGCAAAACTGAGGGAAGTTGGTCGAACAGTATTAGCATACAGACAAGTCTCTGGTGTAACCAATGCACAACTACCAGACTTGATTGAGCCCCAAGTGTTCATGAAAGTTATGGAGGCAACACGACAGGTAGCGGGTTACCATGACAACACCCAGCTCTACGATACACCTAGCCTGGCACTGAAGATAGGCCACAGCCTGATGAAGGTAGCGGAGATAATGCAGTGTGAGGCTCTCATATCACATGATGCTGCACTCGAGAAGAGAAGCAAAGGCTTCATAGACTTGTATCGAATGAAATGGGGAGAGCTTGTATCGCACCATGCACTGAGGTCGAAACCACCCAAATATCTCCCTGTAACTGAAGATGTCTGCAAACTCCCAAGGTACATAAGGAAAGAAGTTTCAGAAGAGGTACAAGCATTGAAGACCAATAGAGGGAATTCAAGAACAGTGGAACAAGATGATGTCAAACATGTTCTGGGTGTCCCCCCAAAAGGTAATACATGTAGATTTTTCTAAAATCTTAAAATAATGTGACACCATATAAATTTCATCTCCATAGCTTACAAAAACGTGATTGCTCCCTTTGTTTTTCAGGTTTTTCACATTTTTATGGTGGTTCAGTTGCAAGATGCACACTATCACTAACACCCTTGATTACACATTATAGAGAAGATCAAATAAACACTTTCTTCTTTATTTATGGTCAATGTGTGACCTGTGATGTCGCACATCTCAGCAGCGTTCGGAGAGCTCTTCAGGTGCTGTGCCGGGGCTGTATTTAAGTGTATTGTAATTGATAATAATTATTACTTTGAATGTTTCCAAGCATTGTAATTTTGATAAAATTTTCTAATCAAAGTTTCACCTTTGCTATAATGAATATAATATAAAGTTTTTTTTTAAATCTTCGCACAGCTACTTTAAAAAAAGGGGAAAAATACATCTCTTTAGGACGATGTATTATGTTCATCTTTATATGACGTTATTCTTTTTCAGCAGGTATCAAGACCAGCTACAGTACCAGGAAAATAGCTGGGCGGAGAACATGGACTGAAGTTGAGCAAACGGTAGTGAAGAAACGACTGAGGGGATGTTTCCAACAGAGAAGGTTGCCAAGCAAGATGAAGTGCCTGAATTTGATCACTTCTGAATCGGTTCTACAGGGAAGAAAATGGGAAAATATCAAAGACTTTGTGAGAAACTGGCTGCGTTATAACTAATATTTGAGATGGCGAGGGAACATTCGATTTGTCATTTCTTCAAAAGACGGTGCAATTTATTGTATGGTACGCCTTCAAAGTCAGAGGGGGCGGTGTTGTTTGCTTCCTTCCTTTTTTTCAATGGTATATTTACTATTTTTCTTGAAAGTATTGGGCTTCAAACTTTTCCTGCAAGTATTAAAGAGCCATCATTTCCCACAATTAAGAGCAAAACAACCATGAAATTCTGATATTTGGAAAAATGTTGGCAGATGGAAAAATTCAATTTTTCTTATGTATACTTCACTGTATTATCGAAAATCCCAAATTTCAACAGAATTATAGATATTACATCTGTATGACGTGATGCAATGTCTGTTGGTACTTTGTTTGGTATCAATAATACTAAATTGGTATGGCACTTAAATCTTGAAGAGGGTAACCACCCCCATTTGTAAACTGTGTTACAAACATGGCTCAGCAAGGGTAGGGTTAACTGATTAACCAAGCACATGTTTGATTTGCAAGGTCAAAACAGTTATGGGATGACAATGGTTTGCGATGTAAAAAACAAAGCAAAGTTAATGTGTAGAATGGTTCTACATTGTGTAGCTTATTACAATTACATGTATTATTATCGACAAGAATTAAAAGAAATGCCTTTTTCTTGCCACCATCATGATCATATGGTTAAATAGGCAGGATGCCAGTGTGTATCTTGCATGTGAAATAGCACATCATGCTAACTTCAGCAGCTGATAAATAGTTTTCAACACTTCATAAACAAGGTATTTTGGCAGGTCAGTTATTCTATGGATCGCCAAGATATGAAAATGAATTGGAAAACAAGATAGATTTTGTGAAATTTCTGTCGATGTTTAAGGAACTTACTGATGATAACATTTACATTACATTTATGTCTTGTAGGCATAAATATTGAAAGATATTTGTATTTACTATTTACCATAACAAAATTTGGTTCTCACCATGTGATAATGGAACCTTGTGTGAATGCTTAATATGATGATGGGATAGCAAAGCCGGAACATTGACATTTTACCCATACAAGGATGATTATCTCTGGCTTGTTTATCCGTTCATAGTATCTAGCTTAAATGGCAAGCTTTCTACATATAAAATCGGTTCCCTAATGTAAAATCAGTTTTCTGATAATATGAAATCAATTTCCTGATAAAACATACTCTCTAAAGTCCTTAAACATTTTGATTAAGCAGCTTCACTGCATCACCAAAGTTCAATTTAGAGTTGTGTTCAGAAGTTCATAGTTTTACTTCCATAATTTTGATATGGTGTGTTAATTCAGTGTTAGTTGTTGTTTTCTCCTGTAGGTAGTAGGTACCTAACTATAGTTGGAGTTACATAAGGTTGTTACTGGTGGTACCAGTTTTATGTGCAAGTTACAATCAAACCTGCTTTAGTGACCACCTGTCTACAAAGACCACCTGTCTATAAAGGCCACATTTGTTGTTTCCCTTGAAAATGGTATTTCATTTAATCATGTACTAAAGGAACTTGTCTACAAAGACCACCTGTCTACATAGGCCTCTTTTTGTGTTTCCCTTGGGCGGTCGCTATAGACAGGTTTGACTGTACTTGTACATGGCTTTGATGTTCGTTGAGTTAGTTTCGATTGTAGGTTATTTCCTAAACCTTCTGAAGTAAGCAAGTGTATGCTGTGTTACCATTTTACGAGTTGTAATTATTGTTTGTTATAGCTGCCCTGGAGGCATTGTTTTCTGATTTTCCGTCCAGACTCCAGAGTAAGTTTTTGGAGCGCGTATGATAGGATGTGATTTCCTGATGTATGG